TAAATCGGGCATGTGCCCCCACAGGCGGGTCTTGGACGAAACATGGAAACACAGCCCAAACATACCCCCACAAGTAATGAAAAAAAGGTAGAACCAATCGTCCCCAGGCTACTGTTGTACTACTTCTGAGCGTTCCCCCTGTGGAGGGACACCTCCCGCGTTTCCCCCTTCCCCCCCCCCCTGCGGGGGCCAGCCGCGCTCGCGCCTCCCGCATGGTGGCTGTCCAGCGCTCCTCCGCTCCGCGCCCATCGGCCACGCGCTGCCCTCCCTCTCTCTCTCTCTCCCTCTCTCTCTCGCCCTCTCTCTCTCCCTCTCTCTCTCTCTCTCCCCTCTCCCTCCCTCTCTCTCTACTCTTCCCTCCCTACATCTCGTATCCTCCATCCCTCTCCCCCCTCCTCTCTCTTCCCTCCCTCTCTCTCTCCCTCCCTCCCTCTCTCTCTCTCTCCCTCTCTCTCTCTCTCTTTTTCTTTCTCTCTCTCTCTCTCTCTCTCTCTCTCTCCCCCTCCCTCTCTCGGCCGGCGGCTCCCCTGCTCGTCGCCGTGCTGCTCGTCCCTCCTCGCAGCGCTGCGCAGCGATGCCTCCTATAGAGCTCCTGGCCCCCAGAGGTGCCCGCAGCTGCTCGCTCGACGCTGGAGCCCCCCGTGGACCCTCCGGGCCTCGTGGGGGCTCCTCCAGAGGCCGTGGGTGCCTCCTCGGACATCCTGGGGGACCCTCTGGGCCTCGAGGAGGGCTCCTCCGGAGGCCGTGGGAGCCTCCTCGGAAGTCCTGGGGGGCACCTCGGGCCCGAGGCACTTCTGGCAGCCTCCTCGGAACTCCCTGGGAGCCTCTGGGCCTCGCGGAGGGTTCTTCCAGAGGCCGTGGGAGCCTCCTCGGAAGTCCTGGGGGGCACCTCGGGCCAGAGGCACGTCTGGCAAGCACACTGCCTTGGCCCGCGCCACCGCGCAGAGCGCGCGCGCGCGCGGGCGCACCGAGGGCGGGAGGCGCGGCAGCCCCCAAAACTTCCAGGGTTGAGTCGGGCCTGTCCCCCTGCAGGGGCATTTTCGACAAAACATCGAAAATACTCCAAAAATTGTTTCAAAAATAATCCGAAAATAGTCGGGGGACTATTTTTGATATATTTTTTGGCCTTTTTGGTGCATTTTTGGGGTATTTTCATCTTTCGTCGAAAATCCCTCTGCACGGGGACAGGCCCGACTTAATTCCAGGGGGGTCCGCGTTCCGTTTCGACAGGGGGGGGGAGGGGGAGAGGGACCACCAAACCGTCGCCCTCGCCGCCCGCCGCCTCTGGCCAGCGGGTCTCCCTCCTCTCCCGGTCCGCCTCCTCCCGCTCCTGCTGCCGCTTGCTGCCGCTGCCCCTCCCAGTCCTCCTCCTCCTCCTCCTCCTCCTCCTCCTCCTCCTCCTCCTCCTCCTCCTCCTCCTCCTCCGCGTCCTCCTCCTCCTCCTCCTCCCTCTCCCCTCCTCCTTCTCGTCCTCCTCCTCCTGCCTCCTCCCTCTGGGGTCGGAATTGGAAGAGGCCCCTGCAGCTTCGGCTCCGGGAGGCCCTCTTCGGGCCCCAGGTCGGGCGGGTGGTGATCGGGGGTGACCCCAAAGGGGGAGGAGGAGGAGGAGGAGGAGGGGGAGGGGGAGGGGGAGGAGGAGGAGGAGGAGGAGGAGGAGGAGGAGGAGGATGAGGAGGAGGAGGAGGAAGGAGGAGGAGGAGGAGGAGGAGGAGGAGGGGGGGGCTGGGGAAAAGGACCCTGAAGGAGCCCTGTAGGACCTCTTTTTTAAGGGCCCTCTAAGCGAACGAGACCGCGCGACGTCGGTCTGGCGGGACCCTGGGCCGCAGAGGGCGGCGCGGGGGGGCCAGAGCCCTCAGGAGACGTGTTTCAAGGGGCCCAAGGACACACAAATATATAAATGTTACATTTTTGGGGGGTTTTCGTCTTCCCCCCCACTGCCCATGTTTTCTTATATTTTCTTGGGGATCGACAATTAATTGTGTCTGTGTGTTTTGCCCCCTCCTGCGTGTTGGGGGCAGGAGTCGAAAATGGGAGCCGGAGTATCGTTTCACCGATCCCTATCCCCAGCGGCGTGGCCTGGGCCCCACTGGCCGATTTGCCCCCCTCCCCCCCCCCTAGATGGGGGGGATGCAGGTCGCTGCCCTTCGGGTTTCGAGGGGCGTATCGCCAACTGGAAGGTACTTTGGTGGGGGTCTCGAAGGGGATGGTGATGGGGATGGGGAGCGGTTCAACGATACCGCTCGACTGCTCCAGCGGCTGCACGGGTGACGGTCGGTTTCAACAGCGTGCACCCCGCCTCGCAGCCGCGCCCGCTCGTGCTCAAGACTCCCAGCAGATCCTGCGACGGGTCACACCTGGAATGGCCCCCGGCCCGAGGATCCCACGAGCGTGCGAGCAGGCCCCGGAATCTTCAAAGCAGCTGCACGGAGCGGGCGCGGATCCGATTCAGACAATATTTTTATATATATACAAAGATATAGATGTGCTTGAAACTGCTCCGGCGGTACGCGAGGGCTCCCGACCTCGCGCTCCGCGCTGCGCGGAGCGCGAAGTGCGAACAAGACTCCGCGCTCCCGCGTCGCCTCCCAGGGGCGACAGAGGGGGAGGAGGAGCCATCGGAGCCGCGCCGCGGAGCGAGAAGAGCACCTCGCGCCCTCGAGGACACCCCCTCGGTGAGGGCCCGAGGCCTCGGAACCGGGGCAGCAGCCTTCAGGGGCACGCGGGGGCTCCGAGCCCGGGCCGAGCGCTCCCGGGCCCCTCGCTGGCCATCGCCCGGACGTCCATTCCCTGCCCTGTGCTTTTGTGCGGCTTCGCGCGGGGCTTTGTCGCCAGATGATCCAGGACGCTCCTCGATGGCCCTCGACGGAGGAAGAATGCACACGTCCGAGTGATGCCAGGCTCAGGGTCAGAGTCGGGCGTCGCAAATTTGATGGCAAAGGCTCCAAAGAAAATCGAACACCAACACAAATACCGAAGCTCGATTTTTTTCCCGTGTCGGGGCCTGGGAGACACTTGTCCGACACTGTGTCGACACTCTTTCGACACTTTTCCGGGTGCTCGAAATTATTTCTTGGATGTGGTCCGTAAGTACGATGGGAGCAACATAATCCAAAGAGGCCTCCAAGATGCTCCGAGGGGGCCCCAAAAACTGCCCCCTAGATGCCTCCGAGAGCTCTTCGATGAGAGCCCACACAGAATCTCTGAGGACTCCGACCAACGTCAGCGTCGTCGTCGTCGTCGTCGTCGTCGTCCCCCTTCAGGGTCGGCGGCACTGGCTGTAAGGCCTTTGCAATATGATTTCACAGGCAGGTCCCAACTTCTCTGAATGCCCAGGCGTTCCTGGGCGCTCGACGCGAGATCGGTCCGAGGCCTCGGAAGCGCGAATTCGGAACGCACGCTTGCGACAATGCCCTCAGGTGGCCCCAAAGTCCAATTTCGGGAAACTCTTCGTAACTTGCCTTCCGAGCCGCCTTGGAGCCCTGGAGGCCAGCAAGATGCCGAACACATTGAAGCACATACATGTGTGTTACACGCTGTTGGCATACTTGCCTTTTCGGCTGTGGGAGCGTCAAACACAACCCGCACAAGCACAACCCGCAAAGCCCACAGGACCGCTCCGAGGGGAGGGCCGCGGGGCCCAAACAGAGGTCCGAGAAGACCCCAAGAGATTTCCAAGAGATCCCTAGCGAAGGGAAATCCAACTTACAATTGGAACACTGACCCTAGATGGCCGTCGAAACCACCAGCAAGTCAAGACTTAGGTCGGGCGTGTCCCCCTGCAGGCGGATTTTGGGGAACAATTGAATATATTCAACAATATTCGAAACATGCAAAAAATACTCAAAACATCGTCCCATATTTTTGTTGGACCATGTTTGAACATTCTTCCTGTAGAGGGACAAACCCGACTTAAAGCAAGTCGCGAAGAAGCCCAGACAAGCGCCCCAAACATTTCCCGGTCGGTCCCCGCCAGATGCCCCCAACAGGTCCGATGCGTGTCTCCCAGGGATCCCATGAGCCCCCCCAAGGAGCATCCAAGAGGCCTCTTGTCCAAGACCCACACATGGTGGCGGGATGGAAGGGGAATATTTAAATAGTTAGAACGATGGATGGCGGATCCTTGTCAGAAGTGCAGGAAAACGCTCGCCTGAACGGTCGGCTCCTGGGCCCAGAGGACGCTCGTTTCTCTAGGAGGCGGCTCCCTTGAATGAACTGGCCAGGAAAATATGTAGGGACTTGTGAGGATGTGACTCGGGACGGGAGGTTGTGCTGCGAAATCGTTCGCACATCCTGGTCATCCTGCTCCTCCCCCCTCCTCTTCCTTCGCCGCTCAGGACCTACGGCGTGCGAAAAACAACTGGGACAATTTCAATGCACTCACCGTCTGGAAGTCCGCTTCGGGCTCTGGGGCCATGAAGACACGTTTCCGTCTGAGAAGCGATCTCTCTGATCCGGTCCAGGAGCTGTGTACAACACTCCACGAACGCATCGTGACGACTCTAAGCTCCTCCTCCCTCCCATCGTCGTCCGTTGGCCACCTTTCCTGCTCCTCCTCCTCCACCTCCTCCTCTTCCTCCTCCTCCTCCTTCTCCTCCTCCTCATCCTCCTCCTCCTCCTCATCCTCCTCCTCCCCCCCCTCCGCCCCGACCTCATCATCATACTGCTGATGGTGTTCCTCGTCCTCCTCCTCCTCCTCCTCCTCCTCCTCCTCCTCCTCCTCCTCCTCCTCCGGTAGAATGGTTGCTTGTGACCGTATTAATTTCGGAAGCGAGCAGCATCAGCGTTTCGTCCTAATGAGCCTCCCATCTGGCCCCGCCCTTCCTCTGCTTCCTCCAAACACCCGGTTTGCACCACCCCTCCGCCCCCTCATTCTTCGCAGATGTATTATTGTAGTATCCTCCTCCTCCTCGTCCAGAAGCACGAGCGGCCGTCCGTGTTCTTCGCGAAGAAGCCGAAGACTTCCCAGAAGGCGCGAGTGCTGCTGAGAAGCACTGCCGCCTTCTGTGAAGGCCCGCCCCCCATCACGTCAGCACTGGGCCAGCCGCCGGAGCCACATCATGCTCCACGTCCTCACGGAGGACCTCCAGCCTAGTTCGGGACTCGCGAGCGGCTCGTCTCCGTGAGTCAGGTCAGACGCTCGTCGAGGGACGCGGTTTGCTCCCAGTGCGGGCTGAGCAGAGTCGGCTCCCAAGTGAGCCGATGAACCTCCCCTGGTGTTTTGGCGTTTGGTATGAGCTACTCCGTGGTCGCGTTGCGTCGTTTCTCTTAGGCTCTTGGCAATGGCATGTGAATGTCGGTCGAGATGACCTCCCTGGTTTGCTGACGTGGCGGCGTGGATCCCGGCCCCCAGGCATCCGGCGTCGGGCTATTGCGCTCGGTACTGCCAAATTGCCCCGCCGATATTGCACCTGCCGCTCTAGGAGTCCGGGCCGGGATAGATGGGGGGAACTGATATTCCTCTGCAGCTTGTTTTGACACCAATACCCCAACCACGTCTGAGCTCCTGGCTGTACGGCCGCTCGGTGACTTGGTTGGCAGGGCCCCCCTCCACTCCCGAATTTTGCGAATGCAAAGGGTCGACAGGTGGCCTGGAAAGGATTTGGCCTCTCGTCGCCAGTATAGGTATCTGCGTGGAGAGGGTCTCAATCGCGTCGACTATTTGCACGCTGCTCAAACGCTTCTGTGCTAGTCCAGCATCATGTTGCGCGCAATGGAAGCCCTCCGTTGCCTCGTCGGTGTCTCTCGCGCAACTCCTTCGAGGTCCTCCAGTCCGACTCCTTCTGCTCGTAGATCTGTACCTCGTGCTGGCATGACTCATGGTGCTCCGCCGTACCAATTTCCGCACGCTCGCGTACGAGTTGAAGTTGTCCTTCAGCTCGCATTGCGTTGTGGTTCGCTTGCTGCTCATGCGAGTTCACGTTGGGCAGCGCGTTGAAGGTGAAGCACAGGGTGGTTGGCCCGATCCGCATCCCTTCGCGGGACGAGGCGCTCGATGGTTGCGACTATCTGCTGGCACTCCTCACGGGCGCTGCAAATCGTCGCCGCCATGCGCATTTCCTGGGGACGTAGCTCGTTCTGGGCGTGTAGGCGCCTGTCCTCTGCATCTCCCCATGTGTGGTTAAGGTGGATGTGGTCGCTATGTTCCTTGATCCGCGCCTCGGCAATTTGTGCTTCGATGTTGGCGATGCGCTGCTCGGCCTCGTTGGTCATGTTGAAGTATGATTGCCCCTCATTGACCAGCCTTCCGGCCTGTCGTAATTGATGCTCTATGATTTTTCGGTCGCTGTCGGTGTCGATCAACTTTTACTGCGCGGACCTGAGCTTGCTCTAATCCGTCTATGTCCACGTGATCGCGGTGTTCTGGCGTATTCTGTGCGGTAGCCCTCATTCCGCTGAGGACTGCAATGATCTTGTTTTGCACGAATCCGCGGTGTGCGGCCAGACTCTGAGTCAGGCTTTTCGCGGTGTCGGTCTCGTCCTTTAATTCGTTCTCGCAGTGGTTTTTTAATGTGCTTCCTTGTGGTGTCGTCATGCGTACTCAAGTATGTTATGTGATGCTGCTCGCAGATGCTACTACAGGTCGAGGATCTAGATGTTGGCGTCAAGCTTGTTCCTCTTGATGTCGTAGGCCAATCGTCCGTTGTACGCTCTCAAGCAAGGTTATGAATAGCATGACGACGTCTTGGCCCTCAGAAGATTCCTCGGTCTTTGTGTCTTCTACGAACTGTTGTAGGCACTCTTCTCTGTGGTGTGTCCTTCTGTGGTTTCTCGGCCTCGTCATCGGAGGCACACGCATTGCTGTAGATGTCGCCCCTGGTAATGCTGATGTCGCTCTGCAAATTGTTGAGATCGCCGGTGTTGTCCTCCAATTCGTTCACCCATGTCTCTTTTTGACTCTGCTGCGCCTTGGTGTGCACGTGATAGTCTTCCATGGTCCGCTCGGTGTTGTCTGTTTCCCTGGCCTGGTTGGGCCAGGGGCATGCTGTTGAGGGTCATGGCATTGGTGAAGGCGATCTGGGTGACTGCATCTGCAGTCGGCAATCCTGTAGCCCTGTTCTGCGTGATGGCTGCGGTTGAGCGCCTCTGCTCGAAGCGTTTGGTATCATTCCAATCGTCCCTCCGCGTAGGATTTCCGCATCGGCATGACGGTGTTGGCAACGCTGGCGGCGTAGTCGTTGTCTTCCTCGGTTGTTGTCTTTTTTTGGTTGGGGCGCTTTGTCTTGTTCGGGTTCTGCCTTAGCCCCTTGAATTTCTGTTGTTATTGCCTCTCTGGTTGCAGTTGTCAGGCTCGTCGTCGTCCGCAGGGTTTAGGGAAGCTCCCTTTGCCCTTGCCGTCGTTGCCCTTGCCGTCGACGCCGTTGCTCCAGAGAGGTTGGGGCGGTACTTGGCCTCTGCCCATTTGTTCTTCTTCCAGCGCTCGCAGCCTGGTCCAATCACTGGTGGAGTAAGGCGTGTTGTGGGCCATCTGTTGAGAGTGCGGCTCGAGGTTGGTCTCCAGGGTGGTGGCGTAGTTTCCGAGCCACTCGCGGTGGATCTCCATGGTGCTGCCACTATGGGAACTCGAGGCGGATGTCGCGGTGGTTGTTGTGCGCACGCTGCAACGCGCTTGAATTATTTCTTGTGCAGAGCTGAGTTGGTGCTGCGTATGTTGATCGAGTAGTGATCGTGCCGATGAGCGCTCCCGTTGGCGCCGACGCCAGGGTGGGGTCTTTCGACGAAATCGTGGTGCCCTGTGGGAGGGGGCAAGATGTGATCGATGCGGACTGTAAGAACATATGTTAGAAAATATGTAAGACAAATGTGTGTGTGTGCGTGTGAACGGAAAGTTGAGGTTGCAATCGAGGCTGGCCCCCTAAGGCTGGCACGCTGTCCACAGGTTTCTGGGCAATCCGTGGCTCTCCCCCCCTCCTCCTCCTTCCCCTCCCCATCCTCCTCCTCCTCCTCCTCCTCCTCCTCCTCCTCTCCCTCCCTCCCTCCTCCTCCCCTCCTCCTCCCTCCCTCCTCCTCCTCCTCCTCCTCTCTAACCTCCTCCTCCTCCTCCTCCTCCTCCTCCTCCTCCTCCTCCTCCTCCTCCTCCTCTCCTCCTCCTCCTCCTCCCCCCCCCTCCTCCTCCTCCGCCTCCTCCTCCTCTCTCCCTCTCCTCCTCCTCCTCCCCTCCTCCTCCTCCTCCTCCTCCCTCCGCCTCCTGGTCCCTCCTCTCACCCCCTCCTCCTCCTCCTCCTCCTCCTCTCTCCTCCTCCTCTTCCTCCTCCTCCTCCTCCTCCTCCTCCTCCTCCTCCCTCCGCCTCGCCCCCTTCCCTCCCCACCCTGCGCCCCTGGCCCGCGGGCGGGAATCTCGAGGCGTGCGGCCGCAGACCCCTCCCCTCTCCAGGCAGGCCGCGTGGAACTTGTGCCCACAGCGCGCCAGCGGCCGCACACTGGCGGGCCGTTGTCGTCGCTGCCGCAGCCGCCGCCGCCGGCGTCGCCGCCGCCGCCCGCCGTCATCGCACCCCCGCAGGGAGCGGGCCGAGGAGGCGGCAGAGGGAGGGAATGGGGAGGGGGGCGGAGGATGAGGGGGCAGCAGTAGGGGTGGGGGGGGGTGAGGGAGGCGAACGGGGAGCAGAGGGCAGCGGAGGTGGAGGGCGAGGAGCGAGGAGGGAGGCGGCAGGGATGGGGAGGAGGGGCGGAGGGAGGGACGCTGCAGATGAGGGCGGAGGGAGGGCAGATTGAGGAGGTATGGTGGGGGGACGCGTGAAGATGTATTACCAAGGAGAAGAAGGGAGCGAGGAGGATGGATGAGAGAGAAGGGAGGAGGAGGGAGGAGGAGGGACCGTATGAAGGAACAAGGAGGTGAATGGGATAATTAGGAGAAAGACCGGACAAAAGGGATGAGGATGGACGGAGGGGTGTGGAGGGACAAGAGGCGAGATCAGAACAGACGCGGAAGATACGAAAAGAGGCGCAAAAAGCGAGAAGGCGGATGAAGCGGAAGAGCATGAGGAGTAGATTTAGGAGCTTTCCGTTGCTCAGTGAATGGGGCTGCATATCGAAAGGTATGAGTACACTGAGTACGGCCGGCCCGTATCATAAGGATGCATGGTAAAGATGCAAGGGCCTTGGACGCCAACTTCGCAATTTTTCGAACGGGGCGCGGCCAACGAACGAGGCTAAGAATGGACCGCGGAGGCAAGGATGCAAAGGTACCCTTGGGAAGGTTGCCCACCCTGACTATGTCGGTTGACTGTAGGCTCATCTCGTCGCTGGACCGGCAGATGGCTTGACTCTGCCCTGTCGGCTATGCAGGCTGACGCGCAAAAGCGATGCTGCACCACGAGCGCGAGGGGCGCAGGCAGGCTGCACGCGAGGGCCTGCGCTGCGCCCCGTGTCGGGGCAACTCCCCTCTGCTCGCGACGCGGTAGAGATTGCGGAGGCGGCGGTGTGAGAGGAACATCGTGATGAGAGGGAGCCTCATCGGGTGGGTGGCAATGGGGGCTGACCCAACTGGAAGGTGAAGAAGCAGGCCCTGAATGGGGCCGCTTGGGACCCGTTTGGGGCACCGGCTGGCTCCACAAGGGGCCCTAAAGGGCCCCTTCGGGGCCTTTTTTGGTCTTCACCCCCCAGTTGTGTCACCCCCCGTTACCACCCGCCCGAGTGGATGAGGAGGCGGAGGCGATCATGATGTGCACAAGGATAGCACGGAGGATGTGCAAAGGGACATCTGAGGTGAAATCTGTCAGTGCACCTAGGCGTAACGGCGAAGGCAAAGGCGGGGACAGTGGTGGACGACCTGGAGGAATAGGATGCTGAGGCAGGCATAAGATGGAGTAGCGCGGGAGGGCGCATGAGAGCGAGGACTGTAGGAGGGAGGAGGGTGGGAGGGCGAGGTAAGAGAGCCATGGGGAACATAAGGACATAGAGGCGACGGAGGATGAGGACGAGGAGAAGGACGAGCAGAGGACGAGGACAGGACGAAACGACAGGAGCTGATGATGGACGAACAGCGCAGAGTCCGCCCCCTATTCCTCGCACTTCTCGCCCTTCTGCCGCCCCCTGCCTCCCCGTTTCCGAACAACATGAATAACGTCAGACAAGAAACTGCACGCTCTCTCCCCGACGACCAGGACCACATCCTCCTCCTCCTCCTCCTCCTCCTCCTCCTCCTCCTCCTCCGCCTCGTTCCTCCTCCTCCTCCTCCTCCGCCTCGTTCCTCTCTTCCCCCCCTCTGCTCGTCCTCGTTCTCGCCCCCGAGCTCGTTGCCGCCGTCCTGCTGCCGTTCCTCCTGCCACTCGGACACCTGCTCCTGCTCCTCCCCCCCTTCCCTCGAGATTAGCGTGGGGTGCGGTCCGTGCAAGTAAGCGCAGCCATCACGTCCCATATATGGCAATCCCTCTGTACGAAACCCTGTCAAGACCCATGATGAGATCGTCCATCACATCCCTTTGGGTCGTCCAGCTTCCTACTCGATCGTCCTCCTCCCCCCTCGAACCCGCCTCGATTCTCAATCCAATCCGTCCTCCTCGTCGTCCTCCCCTCCCTCCCTCCCTCCACAATTGACGCGTCCTGGTCTGCATGTGCCCATCTGCATCGGATAGTGACAGAGGTAAACGCATCTCTCCCCTGCCAACTCCTCTTGCAAGCCCGAGCTGGATCGAATCGCGAGACCAGAACGGCAACGGATCGGCATCGCGACCGAATCGGCGCGGAATCCGAGCGGGATCGGATGGTCTGGGATCGCAGATAGGGCTCGGCCCATGCAAGCTGGTGAATGCCGGACCGCGAGCAGCCCCGACTGGCGGCGGCGGGCAGGCCTCTGCCCGTCAACGATGTCGTCCAGGCAGACGATGCCTGGCTGCACGGGGTGGGAGCTGGTCGGGGGTTACTAAAAGTACCCCTGGTCCAATGTGTCCCCAGCTCGTCGCTCAATTTTGGAGCCCCTGGGGCCCTCTGTAGATGGCAGAACATCCATTCCGATAATTCGCCGGCCCAACGGGCCAGAGGCGTGCTAAGATCTCCGGTAACTGGTTAAGAATTTTCTAGTTCGCGCGCGCGGGGCGGCCCCTGGGGGTCCCCGGACGAAAAGTACCCCGGCAAGGTCCTGAGAGAGTCCCGGGAGGAGTCCCCCAGAGCGCTCCAAGAGCGCTCCATGAGCGCACCAACAGGGCTCCGAGACGTCCCCGAGAGCCCCAAGAAAGGCCAAGAGGCCCCCAAGAGGCCCCCAAGATGGTACACGAGGGGTCCGACATGCCACAAGATCGCTCCAAGACGCCCAAGATAGCCCCCAGACGCCCCAAGAGGCCTCCCAGAGCACTCCCAAGAGGGCCCCCGGAGGCAAAATTCATTGTTTTTCCTTAGGTTTTTGAGAGATTTTGGAGCTTCCACCTTTTCGGTTCCCGACGCCCCAAGACGGCCCCAGAGGCCCCCAAGATCGCCCCAAGAGGGCCCAAGAGGCCCCCAAGAGGGCCCCAAGATGGCCCAAGAGGGCTCGAAGACGGCCCAAGAAGCCTCCAAGACGGTCCAAGAGGGCCCCAAGAACACCCCCAAAGGGGCCCCAGAGAGGGAACACGAAACAAAATTTCGCGCCCTCGGCCCTAAGAAGCCCCTACGAGGCCCCAAGAGGCCCCTAAGAGGCCCCAAGAGGCCCCCACGAGGCCCTCAGGAGGCCCCCAAGAGTCCCCCAAGCGGCCCCAGGAGGCCCCCCAAATGCCCCCCCGAGCGCCCCAGGAGTCCCCCAAGCGGCCCCAGGAACCCCCAAAGCGCCGCATTGACACCAGGCCCTCGGGCAAACGGCAGACATGAGACCGTATGGGCCGGCGGAATGAGCGAAGCGATTCAATAATCACCCCGACACGCGAAGCCGCTTAGTAAGCGCACCCAAAGAGGGAATCAAGCAGGGCAGGGCTTTCTAGTAAACGCCCAGGGCCGTTTAGTAAACGCCAGCTTGCCGGTCCAGGTGGTGTTTCCTCCCTTGACTCTGGGCCTCGTGAGGGGCGCTTTGGAGGCCGAGGGGGCCTCCTTATAAATCCTGGGGCGCTTTGGGCCAGGGGCACTTCTGGCAGCACCCGAACGGCCTGGGAGCTGGGAGGAGCTCGGGGATCTACTGACCGTGTCAGTCCAAACCCGGGTCAATCAGGCTTGCAAAATCCCGCACGATCCTACGGGATCCTGCGCATTCCTCCGGGTCAGTCAGCCTTGGCTCTGCAGGATCCTGCAAGAGTAAGGTCTGCCAATGTCCCCCTACAGGCGGATTTTGGAAAGAAATTCAGGAAGGCTCAGAAATAATAATAAAATCGTCCCCGGACCATTCTTGACTCTTTTTACATTCTCGTCCTGTGGAGGGACATGCCCGACTCAATGCAAGATCCGGCACCCTGGCCGACCCCCGTCTACAGTGACCACCGCCGCCGGCGCAGGGCGTCCGAGGGGCTCCTCCCGCCGGTGTGGCCACCCCCTCCGCGCCCGATGCAGACGTCCCGCATCCCCCGCTCGGGGCGACGCAGGGCGCCGACAGACGTCAAAGGCCCCACAAGAGCGCGGCGTGCGGGCTCGTGGAGGAGGAGGGGGAGGAGGAGGAGGAGGAGGAGGAGGAGGACGGGGAGGAGGAGGAGGATGGAGGAGGAGGAGGAGGAGGAGGGAGGAGGAGGAGGAGGAGGAGGAAGGAGGAGGAGGAGGAGGAGGAGGAGGAGGAGGAGGAGGGGAGGGGGAGGAGGAGGAGAGGGGGAGGAGGAGGAGGAGGAGGAGGAGGAGGAGGAGGAGGAGGGGAGGAGGGGAGGAGGGGGAGGAGGAGGAGGGGGGAGGAGAGGAGCAGGAGGAGCAGGGGGAGGGGAGGGGGAGGAGGAGGAGGAGGAGAAGGAGGAGGAGGAGGAGGAGGAGGAGGAGGAGGAGGAGGAGGAGGATGAGGAGGAGGAGGAGGAGGAGGAGGAGGGCGGAGGAGGAGGAGGGAGGAGGAGGAGGAGGAGGAGGAGGAGGAGTCTCTCTGGAGTCTCTGCCTGATCGCGTAACGATATGAGAAATTAGACTTCCGCCACCCCAGCTGGGGTGTTGCGAGCTCTGGTGGCCTTCTCAGCTCGACTGAGGGCCTTCGGCCAGAGCACTTTGGATATACGGTTGAGGTATTCCTGCCCCGAGGGGGTGAGCTTATCGCAAGGTTCCCCGAGTTTCCCGAGAACCTGCTGGGCATAAGCCCCACACTTGACACAACACCACAAATTCAGCCCAGCGTGGAACCGAGAACGGTGGTTATTGTGAACAAGCCCCCCCGCGACATGGACCGACGTCCCAACAGGGGCCTCCTTATAAGTGCCGTCTACATTTAGAAGCTCAAAACATGCCGTAAGGAACCAAAGAGACCTCGAAGCCTTGCTGGAGGAACTACAACACCTAGTGCAGTGAGAGCCTGTGGGATCAACAGAGAGTTGGGGCCCAAAGAACGCGCAAAGGCGAGGGGCAGGCGGTCTGTCGGTCTTAGACGCTACCTGCCTCTTAGGGCGTTGCTCCCTCTGACACTGAAAATCACGCTTCTGGGTCTCGAGAGTGTCGAGTGCGGTTCGTAACAACCTCATACGAACCTGAAGCTTTTTGCTCGGCCAGCGCAACCCGCTGGCGGCGTTCTGGTGAAACCCGCGCTTCACTGGCTGCGATTCCAGCTAGGGCGTCTGCAACACAATTGCCCACCGCCAAGGACGAGGCAATCTTCCCTTGAATGATGTCCTGTGGTTCCGCATGAGAAAGGATCCAGATGACCGTGGTCGATCCTGTCCGTTGTGCCGCCGCCTTCTGCATTCGCAACCATAGGTCAGCGTCACTGCCCGTGGGTTCCTGGACTTTGCCGTGATGGAAGTTGCGATAGCATGCTTCATTGTCGGTAAAAAACAAGATCCTGGTCTGTGGCCTCCACAGTCGCGACGAGAGCGAGAAGTTCTCCCCTGGCAACAGTCTGGTGAGGGCCTGGCAATGGGCCCCAGAAGGCAGCTTGGATCTCCATGTCGTTGACCTCTAGACTATGGTATATGACAGCTAGGACTCCTACCCGACGTAGATGTGGGTTGTTGCTCTCCTGGCCGCCACTAGCATCTCCGAAAGCAAATAGTGTCGTGTCGGCGGGCCCTCGCAAACACTGTGGGGAGAGTTGCGCGAAACCATGGCAAGACCACTGCTCATGTTCTGGCGGTTGTGGTACCGCCGTCCATGCTGAGGGCATTAAGGCCCTAGTCCAGAAACGCTCGTACATGTACCGCTGGGCGTAGGCCTCGGGCAGCAAATAGTTAGTGCCCTGTAGGATGGGATTGTCCTGATTGCATTCGCATTCCCAGGTGCGGTGGAAGTCGTCTTCATTGGCCAAACCGCACCTGGGACACGTGGCGTCGACGTCTAGCATCTTTGTCTCATGATCTACTCGCTGTCGTGTCCACATGGCGCCAGTCGCGATAGTCAGCATCAGGTTGGACAACCTTACTCCCTGTGGCATGCGCCCAAAGTAGGCGAGCAGCTTGCGGTAGGATCTGTTGTCAACACCGTGCTGTAAGCCCTCGCCTCCGTGGCGCCTGCTGGCGCAGGTCCAAAGTTGGTGGCTGATGCTGGTGTCGATGTCAAGTAGAAGCTGATGTGGGATGTCGGCGTCAGGGATACCCGAGAGCTCGGTCGAGTCGATCACCCAGGAGTCCCCACTGAGGCCGGCTGCCTGGGACATGTGCCATTGGGTCGGTCGTGCTGGGTCCCATCCCATCTGCATGAGGTAGTGGATGGCGGTGGATTGTGGGCCACGGATGTGTCGGACACGCTGCGCTGCTGGGATGCGGTTGAAGTGCTCCAAGATCTTGGCCCACGTGCTGTCGATGGCGAGGTGGAGCTGCTGGTTGGAAGTCCACGCCGTAAGCCAAGCGACGACTGTTTCACGTGGCAACCTCCGTGCGGGATCCCGTTCTGCAGCCTTGAGGTCGAGGAGAGTGGTCAAACACCGTCCTCGAAGCCGTGGTCCGACCAGACGCCGTCTGCAAGTAGTCATGGCCGTTCCGAATGTGCCGTAAAGTTGGTGGGCATAGTTGGCAGCTGCAAGCCCACCCTGGATGGCCAGTCGAGATGTGACGTGGTAGCGCTGGGTGACGCGTGCTACTCTGACGATCTTGGCATGCATGCTGCGGTGTCGCTGTCGTCGCTGGGTAGCAGTAGCGCGCGCCTGCCTGGTGCCGCAGCTGAGGTCGGCCCCCAGGTATGCGGCCTGCGCTCGGGGCTGGATGGGGTAGCCCTTCATGCGCATGGCCTTGGCGATGTACTTGGCGTCCTGGATGTGAGTGCACACAATGACGCTCTTCTTGGCGATGCTGAGGCCGTAGTCCTGGAGCGCCATGCAGGTGTCGGTGAGCACGTGAACCATGTTGACGCGCAGAGCGCGTCGGCTGGCCTGCATGCGCTGCGACAGGTCGTCGACCCATATGCGATGCTGTGCCTGTGGATGGCACGTGGCGATGTGGAGCAAGGCCTTGCAGGTCATGATCTTGGCGAAACGAGTGCCCGATCGGAGCCCTTGAACCACTGATCGCGTAGGTTGAATGGCGTCGGCGTAGGCGCCACTCTGCATGAGCGTGCGTGGTGCCGTGCACTGTACAACCTCCAAGCCTAATATCTCAGGCGGGAAATTGAGCTCGAGGGCCTCATCGATGAGGGTGGTCCAGTGGATGGAGTCGTAGAACTGTGAAACGTCGAGGAGGCCGTGGGCTTGCGTTATGCCGAGCTTGGCGGCCACCTCCTCGTGAAGGCTGCGCTAGTACGCCTCGCGGAAGGCGGAGTTGCCCTTGGCGATGGCGTCCCAGTGGGCGAAGTACTCCTTGGTCCAGGCCTGCACGTGAAGT